ACACAAATTTTATCTCAAGTTTAAGTGCTTCTGTCAATTTACTAATGGTAATGGGGATGAGCAGCTGACGACTTTGTGCCTGGTATATTCTTTATCTTTTAATGTTATTGGCTGTATGCCAGATGGAAAAAATTGAGTTTGACTTTTCAGCGCAGGTTGTTTTCAGGATTAACAGAAAAATGCTGCTTCTAATGTAAGGTCCCTTGGTACGGAAATATACAAAAATATTTCACTATCCAAAAGTTCCTTAAGTATTTTTATACTGGCTTTCTCACTGGGAAGTGCTGTGAAACTTTTGTAAGGTGCTTCAGGTTTGCTAATTTGGGTGAAGAAAGCAGGGAAGTAGTCTAGCTTTTCCTCCAGAATTACTGCTGAAAAATAATTTTTGGACATGCAATATTAGATTGCCCAACAAAATTATATTTCTTTCACCTTTTCAGGTTTTAATCCATTAAATGGAGAAATTCTGCTTTCAGAAGATAGGCGTATCACTTGCTGCACAACTGGAAGTACATTACCGACAGCAGAGGAACATAATTCACTTGCTGATTCAGGAGTTAGAATCAATGCTGAAAATTCAGGTACCTTCTCCCAGACTGTGAAAATGAGGATAGAGTATTCCCAACCTGTGAACGTACAGGGACCAGATATGGCAGGTGACGTATCTCTGCTACATACTGAAGTTGTATTGCCCGTTGAAGCCGATGGCTCACCTGAATTAGTTCAAGCGCACTTTGTGAGTGAGAATACAGCAGGTGGACTGTCAGCTCCTGAACTTTGCAACTCTGTGTCGCAGAACGTAATGGGCAGTCAGAGCACTAACTTACCAATGGGTGAAGAAAATGGTCACAATCAAAAATATCAGAAACTGCAAGAAGAAAACCATAATTTTGCAATTAAAGAACATTCTGAACAACTTCCTAATGCTGATATGACTGATGAGATGCAGAAATTTGAAAAAGTTTTTTCAACAAACATTGTGCCAATAAACTACCCACACAGTGCTCAGACTGAGTCGCACCAGAACCCTGTCCAGGAAGCCTCCCTGTCTGCTCATGTGAACCATGAAAACTCTTTTAAAAATGCGAATGAATTTTCTTGTGGGATGGAGGAACAGCATGAGCTGGAGAATACAGTTACTGTAGATGAAACTGTAGCCTTTGAGATTACTGATGAGAGCCATGATTTTTTGTCTCAGGGACATGAACAGATTTTTATTCAGACTTCAGATGGGCTTATCCTGTCTCATCCAGATACTGCTGTTTTGTCTCAGGCAGAAGGTATCGTTATTGTAACCGATTCCAGTGGTACTACAATGCACATTCGCACACCTGAGGGGATACCTTTGGAAACCGTGGAAGCACTACTGGCAATGGAAGCAGATGGCCAAAGTGAAGATATTTTGCTCTCGCAAAGTGAATTGGAGCCATAAATCAGAAAACTGTATATGCTTTCTTCTGGGAAAGACTGACTCTATAAAATGTATATTTTTCTAATGTGAATACGGAAATAATTGAAATTTAACTTATTTGTAAACTGTTTCTATGCCCTGTACTTTTTATAACTTATGTTTATATAAATCTAGCAGCATTGCAACCAAAAATTCTAGAATTAACATCATTCTATTTGCTTTATATGTTGGGGGTGGGTGGAAAGTGGAAATCTGTCAACCCTAAAACCGTTGCACTATTTCTTTTTGTTACATAATTCCTTTTCTCTCTAGCCATCTAAAAATGCAGTAAGTTCTACTGCTGTTCAGCAGTGATGTGCTGTGTGCTGGCAAGCTGTATATGGGTAAAATAAAAACTGTATTAAAAATGTCTTTTCTGTGCCATTGAGTTTACAAAACACTTCGTTATTGCACTTTCTTAAAGCTAGCTTGAATATTCATTAGCATCTAGACTAGATGTGGAGAAATCTGCCTGGAAAAAGGGGCAGTTTTAAATATAATCCACACTTGTGCATTCTGGGAACAATGTGGCAGCCTAGCTGATCCTTACTTAAATAAGCATCTATTGAGTTAGAGACAAAAATAGCCTCAAACAAGATCTGGTTTGTACTGAACTGTTGGAAATGTATTTGAGTATGCTTGTCTAATGTTCAGCCACATCTTTAAAAATTGCTGTTACTTGGACAGAAATGGGAAGGTGCATAAGTAGTGATCTGATTTTCCTTAATGAGATACCAAATTCTTTTTTTACTTAGTCTGTGATGGTCTATTTTTGTTACACTTGTATTATACTTTTTTCTTTCAGATGATGTATCCTTTATCAGTTCTAAGCTTTGACCTTCCTAGTAACTCCACACTGCCCTGTACTAGTTAATCATAATAAAAAGATATCCTTGACTATAATCCCTGGTTCTCTGTACAGACAGAAGACTTACCAAATTACTTATCTGCTGCTATCTTGTCTTTTTGTTGTACTTGCAGTATGTTGCTTGGATTATATAATTTTTGTGGAGTCTTCCTAGCAGCTTCTTGTCCAAGGCATTGGCTGGTCTTTCAGGTTTAGCAGGTGAAAAAGAACAGCCTTAAATGACCAGGATCTTTATTTTGTTCATGACCTATTGCAGACATCACCGGAAACTGGTAAAATACCTTTTAAAATGTGTGTGTTGCCTTATTGCTAAATACACAAGACTACCGAGAGAACTGGACAAATCAGCTGAAAGGACCAGTAATGTGCAGGAGAACTGTTCTTAAATCAGGTATGAACGTTGATTTTTCATGTGTTTGCTACTGGGGAAAAACTTCCACTAAAACTGAATCTAAACAAGAGAGAGGACAATTTAGAGATGAAACAATCTGCTCTACTGTACCTCTTCAACAGAGCTGTTTTTGTTTGTTCGTTTTTTGCTGTTGTTTTTTTTTTCTTGGTTGCCCAAGTAGAGGATTAATTTGATTAGCCAAAACACTGCATTTTATGTGTGGATGTGAAACATGTCATTGTATGTTAGTAAGCTCCTGTCTGGTGGTTGGCTTTATGGTGTAGTTTTTGTTTTGGGTTTTTTCTCCTCTTTTTTTTTAGGAGGCGGTAATGGTCAGAGGATACAGGCCTTCCTTATGAATGAAGATACCGTACAAAGCAAGGTTCTGCTGGTCTTTCAAAGTCTTTGATTGCAGAGAGCAATTCTTTATTACACTCTTTTGTACTGACTGTCTAATAGCTACATCTGAGGGTTTCAAATATAACAATCAACTGCTTAGAGCTATAATGGCAAAACATCTCTGCAATGATTTTGCAGTAATCTTCCTGTGCCTGATAGCAATCAATGAGCAAGGGGGTCTGTGAATGTGAAGACGCCTTCCTGAAGAGCTTATTTCCTCTAAGAAAGAAGAACAAACCACGATTTCCACCTGTGCAGAAAATGAAAATTTGCTTCAGTTCTGCCTTCCCTATTGATTTGCACATACTGGGAAATACAATACACCTACTCTCACCTTAAAAGAGCAATTCTCTAAGTCAACTAACGTCTTCTCCTTGGAAAATATTTTTCAAGTATGAAGGTGTTTCCATAGTCCCTTACCAAGCTTAGAGGGTTTCAGCTTGGAACTAGTTAAGTAAGTGACCCTACTTTTCCTATCAGAAATCTGTTCCAGAATCTCTCACTGTTTTAATTAGCTGCTTCTAGTGTCAAACCACAGCCATTCTGGTCATTTCATAGCAGTGTGCATTTCATGTTACTGTCTTTTAGTTCAAATAGTTGTTTCAAGGAGAATCAAGGGTAAACATCTGTCAGGGCACAACAATGAGTCAACAGCACTTAGAAACACTACATAATTGTGTGAAATAGGAGATCTAAATCAATAGTTTATATAGGAGCAGGTCACACAGACAATCAGTAAGTGGGAGGAATTTAGATTATTAATCATAATGAACGAAGCAGAAGCCCTAAATTCACTACACATTAGGGACTTAACTAAAAATTTGACGACACAGCTGCATAGTTTCCACATTGTAATACACTTTTCTGAAAAGTGATAATTTGCAATAGCAGCTAACAGTTATTAAAGGCTGGGTAAGTGTAGCAGCTTCTCCATGCTACCCAGGTCTGACATAACGGTATGCTATGGTAATTATTGTGTCTTTAGGAGTGAAAGCAAATTAAGGGTATTGAATTCCACTTCAGCATTTAGCCTTTGCATTAACTGTTTCCCCTGAACACACTTTCTACTCTCTTTTCCAAGAAAGCAGCATGAAAAAGAAAAGAATTTGAGGCACCGATTCTTGTCATGTAAACTACTAACCAAAAATACAGAGGGGGCATACTTTTAAACCAAAACCACTTGACATCAGAAACAGTAATCCAAGGAAAAACTCGCTCAGCCCTATGACAGGAAGCAAACAATAGAGGATAAGGACATGACTGAAGCAGGTCTTGTTTTTATTCAACAGATGCTTTCATGAAACATCTCTAAAAGAAAACAATTACAATGAATTAGAAGAGACAAGACCTTCTCATATAACGACTGTGGAATGGTGAGTTGTACTAAACCTTCCCAGTGTGCTAGTTCAGGCTTCGATCACTCTTCAAGGGTGATGTACCTAACCACCCTATAGCCAAAACCAAACCAGAATTTACACTAGTTTCTGCGACAGCATTTCAGAACCACATACCAAACTATGTGGATCCTTTTGGATCCACTTTGGATCCTGCCTTTTGTGGTTTCCTTTCCTTTTCCCCCATTTATAAAGCAAGTACAAAAGCACTAGACCTGTTAAGTCATGCAAAAAAAACCCCACGAAAGATCAAGAAGTGCTGAATTTCTATGGTGAAAGGGACAATGTAGGTATTTTAGACTGTCAAGACTTGGAAAGTAGTTAAATTCTTTGCTGTAGGTGTCTATGTGCATTGAACCCCCCCCAACCAAGTAGTGCTTACCTCTTTCTTATTACAGGGGACTTGGCCTCCTACCTGTAGCCTCTCTATTGCGCTTAAAATGGATAAAACAACCAAAACCAGATTGTCCCATGAAGAAAAAGGAGTATCAGCTGAGACAAAATAATAAATGTTTTTAATAAGCGTTACAAGAATTCAACTTACTTGCTAAGTCTTGCAATTTGCCATTTCAGTTTCGTGTAAGCATCACTAGAAGCAAGCCATGTAACATTTGAAATTCTAGCACTGTCTATGTCCTGTTTCCAGCAGCATGGCTTCAAGTAGTAGTTTGCTGCTGTTCTCAATGTAAGGCTGGTATAACCATGATGATAAATAGACCATCATCAGATCCTGGTCAGCAGAATGAGCAATTTCTTGTACAATTGTTTGCTTGAGTTGTAGTTCTTTCTTGTACATCTCAGAGAGCTTCAGAGAAACCTCATCTGAAATGGATTGAAAAACCAAGCACATTGACCAGAATACTTCAGCTATTCTCTAAAAGTTAAATTATACTTGTAATACATTGATCATTAAAAAAAAAACCCCTACCTTACATAAGCTATTCCCCATATTTAGACATCTTGTTTTTTACAGCATTAATAATGTTTGTACACTAGAATATAAAACACTAAACAATTTCTTTGGCTTTTGGATATATTTTATACACTTGTGATTTTGATATGAATCCCCTTTTAATTCTAGAATAAGCACTGGTATTGATTCTCAGCACCCACTGTAAAACTAGCAATTATAGCTATTCTTTCAAATAACTGAAATTAGATTTTAAAATTTGGTAATGCTGCCTTGAAATAAAAGCTTCACATTTTAGAGTCACTGTTGATTTTAGCTTATCTAAAGGATGTCCTCACATGCTGTCAGGCACTCTAGCAATACATGATCACCAGTAAGTGACACCAATAGTGAAAAGTAACAGTAAAACAAAACAACAGACAAAACCTGAAATGTGTAACGTAAAAACTAATATTGTTGCTAGTTATGTTAGTGATACTGGTGGGGGGGTTACAATATATTTATGTAATAATCTGTAATTGTTTGACTTTCTAAAAAATAACCACACAAATTATTTTTGAAGAGACTGATCTTGTGTTTCTAACTTAGCCTGAACTATCACTGCCTTCAGGAGGATTTAGTCTTTCATGGAGTAGAGAGCATCACTAAATGATTCAGTCACAACAAGCGTTTTGACAGCAGTTGTCTTTGTCATTCTTACCCTTTTAAGCTGGCAGAAACTAATACATAAAATTCCCGCTAACTTGTGGTAGCGAAGTAAGAAGCAGGGCTTCACAAAGGTATGACTTTCACTTCATAAAGAAGGCAGTTGGTTTGCATGCAATCAGGCTTCTCTTGAATTCAAACAGTTTTAATACCACGGCAATATGAGTTGGGAGGCAGTACCTTTTGCCATCAAGTGAATGCTAAAAGGATTGATATTAACAGTAGACAGAAACTGAACATTTCTTTACTTGTCTTGACTGACATTGAGATCAGAGAAATTTTTCTTTGGCTGAGAATTAACTGAGATATAGCTTGTTCTTTGCATTCAAGGATTTCATTTCAGTGTCAAGTATCAGTGTCAAGTAACAAGTCAAGTCAGTTAAGCCTATGGCTTAACACTACCAAGTTGCAAATATGCCTCTTTCTACAAAGGATGTGGCTGTTGCAGCTTGGGCACTGTAAGCTGCTGACAAGCTTAGTTTTATGCTATAATTGTTGCATGTCGGACAACACTTGGCAATTCATACAAGCAGTCATCAGCAGTAACCCTAAGCCAAGTGGTGCATTCATGTGTTTATCGATTAGGAGGATATATATTATATCCTATTATAAAGGAGACAGATATACTCTCTCTAAGGCAAGACATCTAGATAAAAGGGTTTACTTTCCAGTCCTAAGTTAGATGACATCAACAACACAATGTAATTAGCTAAGATAATCAATATTTTACTTACAGAAGTATGGTGTGGGCCATGTATGAAAGAAGGATACTGTGCAATTCCCAGCTCCATGGTGGTATGTTTCCAAGTCACAGATTGCTTTAGTAGTTGAAGTAAGCTTTTCCATTTTCAGTTGTATTTTTGTCTGAAAATTATGAACATCTAATGTTAACGAACATCTCAGGAACATTAGGCTACTTATAATCTTAAACATTTTTTTAAAACACACCATTTCTGAAGATTATTTAGTCTTAACATTTCTAACTCACTTTTTTAACTCCAGACAGGGATCAAAGCTGGAATTTATATACAGATTTAATATGAGATACCCTAAAATTTTGAACACTGCAGATATGACTTACTGACTCTGATTTTGCATAATTATTTTGTTTCCCCCATGTAGAAATATATTAAAGCGCTCTCTCATTTTTTCTATGGGTTTTCCCTATAGCAATTTAGTACTGGAGAAAAACATCAGACTGTCTATGAACAAGTGTGGCACAAGCCCAATAAACATATGTTTTCTTACATTCCATGTCAAGATGACTTAAATATGATTTCAAAAGATTAGCGGCAGGTGAGAAAAGCAGCTCAAGCTATGACTGACAATATATTTAGGCTGATTTAATGGCTTGCTTTGAAAAACAGGTCGTTCCATCCACTTCCTTCATGTTTGCCTGAGTCTGTGCATTACTGATGGCGACTAATATTTCCAACAAAATGGAGCTTGCAAGCAGTATCTTTAAGTCAAGAAGCTAAAATACAGATATTTCTATAAACTTGTAAGCTGGTACAAACTCATAAGGAATGAAAAATAAAATATGTCTGTAGTAGCTATGTTTAGTATCCAATCTAACACTGGCTGCTTAGACTCCTGTTACTCAGGAGTAATAAAAAATCGCATCAACACACTCAGTAGTCTGAATACAAAACTACCTCAAGGAAAAAAAAAACCCCAAACCCAAATTACTGTTATTTTTTCCCACAGAGCAAAATTTGAGAAAAATCTAGCTGCTTTCCTGCTTATTCTAAATACTGGACTAGTATCCCATCTATAAAAAACAGATCTATTGTCTTTTTAATGGGCCTCCACTACAGCAGAAGGCTGTAAAAGTTATTTTTAATAAGAATTTTAAATTACAGTATCAGGCAAAGAAAATTATTTCTTGTTTTCTGTCAAACTGACAGGTGACATTAATTCCTAGCAATGTATCCAGAAAAAAGGTGGGTTACATAATAATTATCTTACTCTACTCTCTAGAGATGGCGTTCTGCACAGAAAACGCAGGTAGGCAAACTAAAAATATAACTGCATTATGTCTGATCAAAGATAGCTGCAAGGATATGATGGCAGGTAAAGCATTGCTTTATGCTTTGTTTATTTTGTTCTAAACAGAGGGAATATTCAGGATGAGAAAACAGAAAACAGGTGCAGTTTTAAAATGCATTTTTTGTACGACTAATTTCCAGAAGACCACTTTGTAAAGGAAGGAGTAGAATTATAAGCAGAAGGTGGACATAAAACTAACTTTCTAATTTACCAATCAAGCAAATAAATGGCACACGCTGGATTTATAATCATTGAGGTCTGAAGCCAAAGAACTATGAATAAAAATTCCAATTTTCTGTTTACAACAAATACTTGAGGACATTTGCTTATGTCATACGTGAACACACTTGGAATTGATTCGTATTGACTAAGATTGAAAAATGAGCACTACCATATGCTTTAAGGTCTCAAGTAATTCTGCACAGCAATTGTCCAGTTCTTCATTGTATTTTGGAATTGGCTTTTCAGATTCTGTGGCACTGTTGTCACATGCTATCTCCAGTTTGTTGTCTTGAAATCTAAAATAGAAACATAAGGCAGAGTAAACAACTGCACATAGGTTTACTCGAGCTGTGCAGATTTAAAATCCATGTGGTCTGATCCTACAAAATCTCTCTCTCACAGGGTGTTCAAGAGAATTCCCACATACAAATAGTAAGAGACATAGCTAGCCATGTGAGCAATTGGGGCTGGTACCATAATCTTCACAGGAATCTTCAGGTACTGTAATTTCAGAGGAATTACTCTACCTTAGAGCATGTGCTTGAAAAAACAGTTGCAGGTGTTAAGATAACACCTCTTCCCATTTTACCTTGCCCCTGTGTTGGAGGTTATTCTCTCACAATGGACAAGGTATGCCCAGGGTTCAGCTGCTCCAGCTGACAATCTGGTGCCTCACCACAAACTCACCTTCATGCACAATTTAAGCTAAGACATTTAACTGTGAACCCAGAGCAGCTGATGTGCAGACACCTATCCTGTCTTGCTGACTTTCCCACAGAAGCTGTAAACTTAAGACAGGGGAGAGGGAGTTGCTAGAGAGCGAAAGCAGCATCTGACACCATCGCAGCAAAATATTCCTGAGCTTGTACCTGTCAGAACCCTGTCAGACAAACCCAGTTCAGGACTCTGGCGAAGTTTTTTCTCAAAACCTGGTTAGTTATAGGTTTTTCTTTACAGCATGAAGATAATAGCTCTACCAAAGTGGGTTTTGTTGGGTTTTTTTTTTAATCATCACTGTTACAACTTTTTGTCTATATAAATCACTAATTCTTTCTTAAAATCTGCTGAAATTTGGCTTTAGTGAAATTTGGTAATACTGGCCTCAGTATAAATATGCAAAAGACTAAGGGAACTCACATGGGCTGAGATCTATACGATTAGATTCTAACTTTGTATATTATATAAGTATTTTAAATATCCATTATGCTTAACTATGTATAATAAGCGTTTTCCATTTCTTGCAAATATCATTACTTTATGAGATTATTTTAATCTTTATGAGACAATTATTTGAATGTAAATAGTTTATGTAACCAAAAAAGTGCAACTGCGGAGTTTGATCTAAGAGCTAGCTTATCCACTCTGACATGTTCTCTCCCCCATCTCCAAAAAGAACTTTCTAGTGAAGAAAACAGTTTAATTTCTTAATAAAGGCAATCTTTATGCTGTCTTTACTTGTATGTGCTATTAGCATACTTACTGCTCACTGATCTTCATGTTGACTATTTTGTTTGCCGTAGTAAATCCATTATCATTCAGTCTCTCCCATTTCATCATTAAATTATGCCAGTCTGCTGCATTATCTTTGATTTTTCTTGCACTGACAGACAAAACAGGTCGTCTTGGAGTACTATCAGCAGGACTTTTTGCTATATGAGAAAATAAAGACATTCAAGCCATTTAAAGCATACCAAAACAAATCAGTGTGCTGTCTGGCAGCTGTTTGTATGAACGATTTCCTTGCTTTACTGCAGAACGCTGATTAAAGTAAAATGGAATTTACATTAACTGTCTTCAGTGATGAAATCTAAGTCCTCACCTATCGGCCTTGTTACAAGAAAATCACATTATTAAAAAATGCAAGCATGTTCATAGAATCATAGAATGCTTTGGGTTGGAAGAGACCTTTAGAGGTCACCTAGCCCAGCCCCCCGCAGTGAGCAGGGACAGCTTTAACCAGATCAGGGTGCTCAGAGCCCCGTCCAACCTGACCTTGAAGGTTTCCAGGGATGGGGCCTCTACCACCTCTCTGGGCAACCTGTTCCAGTGCTTGACCACCCTCATTGTAAAAAATTTCTCTCTTATGTCTAGTCTAAATCTATTCTTCTTTAGTTTAAATCCATTATTCCTTGAATTTATTCCTTGAATAAAGTAGTGGCTTTACAGTACTGACCAATCTACCAGGCTTCTGTCAATGTACGACAGTCAAATGCTAACACAGCATATGATGACAAGAAATCACAGCAACGATTCCTGTACGCGTGCAGCGTTCGTGCCATGAACGTCTGAATTAATTCACGCCTACAAGTGAGCTCGAAGTGTTTGGGAGAAAGCTGGGTCCTACTGGAGAGGGTGTGACGGGTCATGAGGGGACCACACAGCAAGGGGAACGCATCACTCCGTTTACCCACGAGCATCACCTCAGGGAGAGGGCTGCGAGCGCCCTTTCTGCCCAGCACCTGGAGCCGCAGCCCCACCTTCACACCTCGGGCCCTGCCCCAGGAAGCACGGGGGCTGCAAGGCCGGCTCCACGCTAAGCAGCAGCACCCGCTGCTCTGCCCGCACGTTTGCTGGTTTTAACTTTTATTCACGGGGACGCCCGAAACGCGGTCACAAACGCGCAGCCCACGCACAGGGCGAGACACGGGTGTCCCTTCTCCTGGGGGGACGAGCCAGGTGCTGGGCGCCTTCCTGGCCCGCACCCACGTCCATGCGC